TGTGCCTCCTAGGTGAGGAGTTGCAGACATCCTAGGGCAAACACAGGACATGCTGTTGAGATTATGCCTCACAGTGGGCTTGGACACCTCAGTATCCTATGGCAGAGGGTAGCTACTGCCGATTAATTGACCTTCTGCGAAAGTTTGGATGTTTCTGCCAGTCCTGAAGCCTTCAAAGATCTTTTTCAGGATCAAAGGATTTCTCTAGTTTTTGTCATAACCCCTATGGTTCTCAGACAGGTGGTGCCCTACATGTGACAGTTTGTCTCACCTGCCATCCTCACTTTATATAGCTTGTTGTTGCAGATCCAGGTTACTGAATCTTAGAACTAATATTTTCTACTGTTTAACACCACTTTGATTTAAAGCGCCCTCCATCAAGAATCTATGTCACAGAAGGCTCCAGTATGCGGCTAGTTTGATTAAGCCAGTTTGCCTGACCTGTCAGTTTTGTTGTACGAGCTTTAACCAAAAAAAAAAATAATACGACTCTTTTTATACAGACCTTTTAATGAAAAACAGTATTGTGTTAATTTATCTCTTATTTCCTTCAGATTTTCTTCATCGTTCTAAGCCAGTTTGTTCCTACAATAGAAGTAAATGCACAACAAATATTGTCATTTTTAGCAAATCCAGTTAACATAATAAATTTGTTGAGGTGTCTTTGTAGTGGCTGAGACACAGCACCCATCAATGCACTGTGTGAGAGACATAAGACTTGCCTATATACTAATGCTAACTTTTGGTTTAGACTGAGTGGAAGGTCGTTGGTTGTTAAGGTTTGGGTTAAAGGCAAGTGAAAGCACAACTGTCCCTTTGAATGCAGTGTACACCTCTGTTTGTGTGAATGAGGCTGGCAGATGGAGGTGAAAACGCTTTAATTAACAGTATCTCTGTTGAATTATCTGAGTTAACAGAAGAATCCCATTGTCATGACATTCACTGATCACCTTTGATTCACTTCTAATCCCCTTTAAACCTCAACAAAAACACCCACACGCGCACATGTGAGTTCTTCTCACGTACTGCCTCACTTCTGTCAATCCTCCTGATTGGACCAGGCTGATTCCTGCATTTTCATTTAAATACAAAAAGGGACCCGAACATAGTGCTTTAGGTGATTTATTGTTTTATCTCACTAAAAGCTCCCATAGACTTAGTCCAGATAAGCTCTACCTGAAGTGAAATATTTAGTCCAAGGTCAGTGACAGCAGCAATTTAACACAGCGTCAGTGGAGTATTTCACTTGGGGGACAATTTGTAATTTTTTGGCATGCATATTCCTGCAGAAGCATGTGAACACTGAGCCATTAATTACGTCTGTCTCAGTTACTCTGAGCGATCATTTGCTTGCATTTCTCTGGAGATTTGCCTACTAAATCATAAGCTAAAGGAGGGTGGCAGAACAGTGAAGCAGACGCTGCAGCATCCTGACACCAACCGCAAGTGTCTCACACTGGTGTTAAGTCGATATTTGATGATACGGTTTCTCCACATGGCGTATGTGCCAGTACAGTAATTATGCCTCCGGAGACTTGGGAACATTTTGATTTAGTGCAGCATTTTAATTTTCAAGAGTCAAATTAATTTTGTGAAGGGTCTAAAAATGTGCCTCTACTTGCGCAAATGCTAGCAACTGTATAGGTATGCACAGTGACGAGACACAAGAGGTGTAAATCAAACCTGTGTTGCGAGCTTGTTAAGGTTAAATTAAAATCTATCATCCAACAATGAGCTCACAGCAGGACGTGAAGGATTAAAAGATCTGTTCACATACCGAGGCTGTTATTAAGAGATTATTATGATATTACTTTTACAACTCAATAACATTTCAGCTGCACAAAAGACAAAACCAGCAAAGGATCAAATAGTTTCCATCCTCTGATATCTGTTTTACCTTCTTACATCAGGTATCAACCGCTCTGCTTGTCGTTTCTTTATCTGGGTTGTAGTTAATTGCTCTGATAGCTAAAATTATTAACTCCACAGCCACCGCTGACCTCGATCCCAATTTCAGCATCACCAAGGAGGAGAGATCCCTTCCTGTCTTTGTCTGCAATCAGTGATAATTCCACATAAACTTCAGAGCGAGTCATCAAAACAAAACAGACCTACTTAGCCAATCCTCCCTGGAGCACATGTCAGCTTTATTTTCAACGGCGAAGATAATCACGGGCGTCGTCACTAAAGATCTTACAGAAGTCAGACACTAGAAAAAAAAAAAATGACTTGGGAAATAAACACAGCACTGCTATTTTTGCTGTCATACCAAATAGAGACTTAGTGTGCTGGATATTTTGGGTAATTTGTAACAAATACAAAAAAAGTTACAACTTTGGCAATCCAAAAATCCGAAAGGAAGATAACCAATATTGCTTTAACCGGTTCTGTTAATAGGGGGCTTCATTTGCTCAGGCATAATGGATACATTTTGCCTATCAAATCATCAAATAATAGGAAATAGCTTGAATTCCTCTTTAAAAAAAAACGTAAGATCATCTTTAGCAGCAATAACTTGTAGGGTTTGTCATCGTGGAGGAATTTTGGCCTACTCTTCTTTGTAATGTTGCTTTAGTTCATCGAGGTTTGTGGTCCCACGACGGCATTTAAGTCAGAGGACTCAACTCTTAAGTGGCTTGCTGCCAACCTGCTGGATGCTGAAAGGGTAAGTCCATACAGAACCCACTGAAAGGGTAGCATGAGCTGCAAATGGGGAGTAAAACTGAATCCATTAACCTTACATCCATTAACCTGAGACACACAGTGATTCTAAAGTGGCTGTAGGTATACGTGAATCTGTCTGTGCTAGCTCTGTGATACTTTCACAGGAAGTCTTACTTATACAGCGGCAACAGGCCAGTATTAGCTGGTAACACTGTCAGATAACATCGTCCATCATATGTTGGTTAGACATCAGTGGGTAGAGAGACAGCAGTGTGCAGAAAGGCCCTGCTCATATGTCTGCTTAAACTGTCCTAGAATATATTGAATGGCACAGAAACAGCCAACCGTTTTAGAATAATGGGACAAATTACTTGTAGACTGTACGGTTAAGCATCTCAGTACACAGGTAGGCTGTGGAAACGCAGCACACTGTTTTTAATCATTTACTGTTCAGCAGCTTGGACATTTTTGATCTGCTCCTCCTCTAAATTACAGAGAGAAGACGAGCAGGGACACAAAGTTTAAATACAATCTTGCTGACATGTCATCATCCTAATGACTTAATCAGAATCAGAATCAGAATGCTTCAATAATCCCTAAGGAAATTATGTGGGTTACAGTTGCTCCAAGACAATAACGGTGACAGACTGAACTAATTAAACAATACAGTATATTACAAAGTTTAGAATATATGAGAAATAGCTGTAATATATACAAATAGCTCAATTACAAATATCGAGAATATTACAGAGATGAAAAGTATATGATTGACTGAACAACCTGGACTAGCAGCCAACTTGAAGCGTTAATTTGGCGAATGTTTCTATTTGCCTTAACAACTAAATGTTTTAACAAACACTCTCCTTTAAGGCACCCGCACACTGCATGATCCGGGGAATCTTATAAGTTCACTGCATGACACTATGCAACATGGATGTATTAAACTCAGGCAGGACACCAAGTTTGATGACATTATTTCCCTACAGAATCAGGGACTGGTCTGCAGTTTCTCTCCATGCTACCATCACTCTTACATCCTAGACCAGACCTCTTACGACACGTAGCTGAACCATTTTACCTGTGCTTCACTGTTTGAGATCAAGACACAAAGGAACCATCCTTCTATAAAGACAGCCCAGCATGGCTAAATGACATCCTCACCCAATTTAAAGCGAGCCTCCTGTTAGGATCCCTGGGTCTGTTCCCAGTGTTTGTGTTTTTTTTGAACTTTTGCATGTTGTATTTTGTTTTGAGAAGTGAGCTATGTTTCTAGTTCGTAGTCTTTTGTTAACTTAGTCAGTTCCCTTTCATGTCCTAGTCTCACCTGTGTATGTCCTTCGTAGGGTCCCCGGTGGGCATTCTCTCTCTGTGTCTCTACCATATGACTGTGTCAGTATCTCAGTGTTTGTGATTTCCTGTCTTATTTTGATAGTCATTGTCTCATGTGCAGTCTTGCTTCCCTTTCTTCATTATGTCTATTTTGCTCCAGCTGTGTTCTCATGTGTCTCCACTTCTTCTAATCACCCTCCTGTGTATATGCAGTATCTCCCTTTGTGCTTTGTCATGTTATGGTCCATTTATGCTACTGTTCTGTTTCCCAGGCTTAGTTTTTGAGTGTTTCTTTGCCCGAGTTAGTTTAAGCAGCTTGCATTTAGTTTCCTGTTTGGTTTTGTATTTTTGCTCATGTCTTGTTTACTTATCAGCTCATTAAAGAGCTCGCCTTTAGTTAAACTGCCTCCATGCCTACAATTTTGGGTCCTCCTTCACCACACCCTAACCCTTGATACCCTGTGAAAAAGTTCAGTTCCACCTTGCACTTGGTTGAAATGTATACAAGCACAGAATACAACCTGTTTAGGTTTCACTTCCCTACTTCAAGGAAATACCTGGCTTTAGTTGCTAATTGCTCTCCTATGTTCATCGTCAGTTCTTGTAGGAGCATTCAATAAAATAAAAAAAATCAAGCTGAAGGCCCTAAAACGGTGAGATCCCCTATTATTTGACCCATTAATATAAAAATATCATTTTTGAAATCTATGAATGTTAAATTAAGGCTCAGGCTCAGGTTGGACCGCTTGATGAACATCTACTCGTCATAATTTAATCTATAAAGTGACTATCCATATAGAAAGGAATACATTTATTGAATTTCTTCACACGGACCTTGTTCCCTGTTTTAATTTGAATCTATCTTTGATTACAGGCACAAAATCTTTGCAAGCTGTCTATAAAAAGAGACATCAGCTCACTTAAAACGACAGGATTTTCGGCTACTTCGCCTCCGTCCACCTTCTGTTGACTCATTTTTGGATGAGCAGGTGAGGGTTCACACTCACTTTGACGGTGCTCTCTGCAGTGTTAAGTGACGACTGCAGCTTGTAGGACCTCTCCCGGTTTTCCCGAGCCTCGTCCGACACCCTGGCCAGCTCGGCCCTCAGTTTTCCGAGGGTTTTCTGCAGCGCCGCCTCCTGAGTCTGAAACTCCCGTCGCAGCTCGGCCTCAGTGCGTTTCCATGCCAAGAGGTTGTCGGCGGTAAGCTGCTGGGTTCTCTTCATGGCCTCCAGCTCGCGCTCATAAAAGGCCTGAGCCTGGGGACAAACGCACACTTGTGAAAGTGTTCACCACTGCGGAAAAGATTTAAGCCAAAAACATGAAGGGTGTAAAACTAATTAATAAGCCTCAGTTTTCTCTTTTTAATGACAATGTGAATTTTATATCGAAAGGTCTAAAAACATTTAGAGCTGGAGCCAAAATTACTTTCCTGACAGTGTTTACTGCCGACGAGGATGCTTTTTTTTATTGAATTACTAGCATCTAAATGCAGTCCTTAAGTGCAGCTATGGCTTTTCCTGTACACAGATCTGCAGATAACAACCTTCACTTTCAGCAGCGTCAACACTATAGTGCCAGCAAATTAAATTTTCAGGCCTTTTTTTAACTATTACTAATCCAAGGACATTTAGCACAGCCTGGAGTGAATCGATTCTGGAAATGCCAGATGAGACACTGTGTGTGCAAACCTTTTCTGCTTGAATCCTCTTGAATCCTTATTTTATTTAGGCTTATTTTTAAAAGATCGCACCTTTCAGTCTGGACTCAGTATTAGGTTTTTTGGGTTGGCTCTAGACAGAATTAGACTGTAGCAGTAGTGAGAGCAGGGAAGGAGAGTACACCCACGCTTTCCTGAAAACATTAATAAATAGAGTAAATAACAATGGACTTAAGAGTCTTAGAACATAGTGGTACCAGTTCTCCATCTACTGCAGGTTCTGGATAGAGTTGGCCCACTAACTTGGATCTCCAAAGTAAAACAAACACTACTGTATATTGTCCCTAGCAGCAGTTAAAGGGTTTGGAGGAGCGATACGAAGTGACTGAATGGCATCAAGGACATGTGAACAGTTTGGGAAGGGCAGACAATCACAACGAGAGCAAGAGAACTGGAAGTGGAAGGAAAACAAAACACACGGGTGGGGGGGGGACTAACACAGAAGGCATCTGAATAAAATACCCATATAATGCCCAATAAATGATTTATTAACTCATATTTGCTTACCAGTTTGTTTACCAATTATTAATGATGGTTATTATATTTAATGTACTGTACCTTGCTGAGTTTGGCCTCGTATTCCTCCACCAGTCTCTTCTTGTCCTGTTTCAGCTCCTCCACCCGCTCTGTCAGAGAATCAACCTGAACGTCCAACATGGAGACACAAAGAAACGGCACATTTCGAATTAAGTAGAGTCAGTTTATTTTAAAAAAAAATTAAGCAACCAGAAGTCTCTGATGCTTTTGCTGTAGAGAGACGATTATAAATTACATTATAAAATGCATGTAGTCTATACTAGCGTTAAAATGTTGTATAAGGAAAGACAAGGTAGAACAAAGAGTTGGAAACTTGGTAATTATCGCTGTCCCACTTTCTTTCTTCTTCCCTGTAGTGGTTTAGAGTTTGATGCTTTGGCTTTCAAGAGCTGCTCTACTTTTGCAGAAGCGAGTGTGTTACCTCGGCTTTATGGAGCTGTACCAGTTTCTCCTGGTCTTTGCTGTAGTTTGCGTTCTGGCTCTGGTGGCTGCGAAGAAGCTCCTGGATTTCCTGTCTGTGCTCAGCCTTGAGCTCTTCCAGCGCGGCCCTCTTCTCCTGCTCGAACTGGGCCTGTGCCTGGCTGAATGTACGCAGCTTCTCCTCAAAGGACCGTCGCATCTCCTCCACCTCCCTTGACATGGACACCACACGCTGCGTGTGCTGCCAAAGAAGACGGGAATGAAAGGCTGAGCCAACAGGGGAATTGATTTATGGGTTTTGTAGGCTTCTTACAGAGCGCGTGACTTTTCAAAAGGTCTAAGCCAGGTGGTGGTGTACTGGCTTGGGGGATTTTGACCTTCTGGCTGCCGACCTGGCTGCTCTAAATTAGCAGTAAAAAGCAGCAGACTAAACAGAAACAAAGTGTGTGAGCAGAAAATGCTCTGAAGGTCATTGTTCAAAAATTACAAGAAAAATGTCATCTAGTATTGACATAGGAAGTTATCATTCTGACAATGCCTCAATCCATTGATATTATATGTTATATTGATTAGCAGAAAAGTGGTCTCTAAGGTACCTGATCAGAAAAACACTAAACATTTTACGATAAAATCTTTAAGGCACATAACAACCATCTGTCAGGGGAAGATTTACTAATATGTTTTCATACCTTTCATTTAATTTGACTGCATTTCATTCTCTAAAGTAGCTAATTACACAATCAGCACCAACTAACTATTAGCCATAAATTTTCTAGTCTCAAAGGGTACAGAAGTGGCATATCAACCACGATAAAAGTAGGAGACACCCATGACTGACAGCTTGGACAGTTATCAGGGAAAAAAACACTCAGGGATAATAACACAAGCACAAACACAGACACACATCTGCATATTTGCCATCAGTACGGTGGCTCATTCTGCTGCACTGTGGCCTCACAGCAAGTGGGTTCCTGGTTCAAATCATTCCTCCATGAGACCTGGCTTCTCCTGCCGCCAAAACATGCTAGGATAATGCTCCCCTCGCTGTGCCCTTGACCAGAATAAGGCCTTACAGGTGCCCACCGCTGCTAATAATGAATATGGGTTAATATGTGGAGACTACAGCCTTTGGGTGTTTGCATTTTATTTCTTTGAGCGTCACTCTAAATCAGGGATGTCATTTTATTTAATGGGCTAGATCAGTAAAACCACTGCATAATAACATGTGGTGAAATATCCATTTCCAAAACACATGATGAACATCCTCAGATCATTTTAACAGTATGTCTTATTGCATATGTGCTGTAAATAAGTGAATCTAGAAAATGCAAAAGTAACTTTAACTTTGTTCTGGAGGTAGTTCAATGCCTGTTTTGGGTTGTTGTGTCGGAAAAGTGATGACCCAGACCTGTTTTACTGCCTTTTAAAAACCTGACATATCCTTCTTTATTCACAAGTCCATCCATCTTGACGAGATTCCTAGATCCAGATGTAGCGAAGCTTCCCCACGGCATGATACTCCCGACACACTGTTCTAACTCTAACCCTCATTAGCCACTGGTCTGGAGTCTTTAAACATATCAGTAGTTTTCTTTCCTTCCAGGCTTGTTCTATATTTGTGTTTCTCTGATTCTGTGGATGATACTTCTCAATCCTCTTTTTGTCTGTACAAGTATCAGTCCATTTACCAAACAGTCCAGATGTGTTGTGAGATGATGTATATTGTACTGATAACTGTCCGTACAAGTGTCTTACTTTTCAAAGCCATCCAGTGGGCTTTGGTGGCCTGGTTCAGGCCCCAGGCTGCTTTGTTTGACATCCCTGCTCTAAATCATAAATTCCTGCATATAGTCAATTTTTCTTTATTCCTGCCTTTGCATCTTTTTATCAGAGAGCTGCACACACTCCATAAATCTATATAATGATGTTCATTTGGTCAGCTATTGTTAGAGATTAGTTACACGCTTCACTGTCCTCCCAGGTCATATACAAGCATATACATGGGGATGATTTCATACACACTGGCTTGCTCATAAACTTATAAACAACAAAGCAGAGGCAATTTACAGCATAGCAATAAGAGAGGTACTCCTCTCCTACTTAAACGAGGTGCGGAAAAAAAAACGAATTTAAATTATATCTCTTTATGTGTCTTAGCAGGACTGGATTGTTATTGGATATCGAAGAAACTAGATGTGATTGCATCCGAGAGGCAGCCAGATCCAGCTGTTCAATACATCCTGCATTTGACTTGCAATCCAGGCAGATGTGAAGAAGATGAGTGCATGTATCTCTCTAAGACTTCAATGCAATGTTCACTTCTCCCAGCTGTTATTGTGTCAAACAGTCTGTGGTCTGTCTACTGTTACTGTAATCCTAACAGGCAGATCTACTTTGGAATAGTACCAGAATAACACCAGTTGTTCCTCGAGTTTAATTAACAGAACAGACATTGCCAGCTTCTGAATCTGAAAATGAAAGACTATAGAAAAGGTGCACTGGGTGCTTACAGCATGTCTGTGATCTCTGGTCATTGTAATCATCTGTTTTGATATTTATATTTTAGTTGCAAGCCTCTATTTAAGGCTGTGTCCAAAAAAGTTGGCACTAATACGTCTGTATTTTTACTCAAATAACTGTATATAAAAGATGGATGCACCGTGCACCCACTGTGGCATCACCCACTGGTTAGTGAGGTCCTGCTGAATCGTTTTGCTCTCACCATCTTGGTGTTTTAAAATGGGAGATATTAGGCAGGGTTTTGATAACTGAGAAATATTGTATATACCTGAGCTGCAGCAAACCCTACCCTCCTTTTTCACTGTGATGAGGATCCTAATTTACAAAATGAACTTCATGTTTTATTCATCTAACGAGACCATAAACTCATGTTGTAGATCGAGTAAGCCGAGGGCTTTTTTTTCCATCAACTCAACTTGTGCCCATTGCACGACATTACAAAGAATGCTGGTTCTGGACACTAAGCTACATCTAAGAGTAGTTTTATTTTGTAGTATTGCTGCCTTCACTAAAGTAAAGAATCTAAATCCTTCCTCTGCTGCTTTCCATGTATTTTCGTATATTAAGGCTTAAGGCAATCGACAAGAACCTGAAAATTGTGCCTCCCATTTCCTAGGCTAATATTCAAAGCTGCATTTTCTGATTTCCCCCATGCGCTTCGCTCTGATGGGTTCTTGGCCTTTCCTGTGGCAACACATTCAAAGGTTAGACCAAGCCAAGTTCTCTCTTTTATGTCTCTCCCGCTCTCTGATCCAACTTTTCCTTTGTCTCACCATGAGCACAACTCCTCTTTTAACTAGATGACCCAGGCCTCCTTGTTTCCTGTTTCTCTGCAAGGCCCTGCTCACATCTTAGTAAAATCAAAAATGGAGTTATAGTGGGCCAAATCATTCTCAATAAATCATCATCTCACATTCTTATGGGGGAGTTTCTTCTGGTTGACTTGTTTTAAAGAAACCTACTAAAATGTGCAAGAAAATCTGTTAAGTGATGGCATGACGTTGGTGTTTCCAGGTAAACGGAGCTCATTCTAGTCATCATGTAGCTGGATTAACTCGTGGATATACGTGACTAAATTTAAAAATGTATTGAATAATATCTGGACTCTATTTACAGACTCCTTGAAAAAAGAAATGAAAATGAGGCCTGAATGAACCCTGACCGCTCACAGCAATCTGAGGCAGTTGATGCAGACAAAGAGAGACTCTCCACTTCACAGCAGGACAGAGAAACAGACTTAATAGCGATTACCTGCAGCTGTGAGTGCAGACACAGGTGCCTCTTGCCTCCAGCACACACAGACATCACATCACTCTTCCATTTACCTGAGCCTCAGTGCAGAGCTGCATGTCTTCCACCCTCTGACGGTAGCTCTCGAACTCGGCCAGGGCCTGCCTCTTCATCCTCTCGTGGAGTTCCATTGACTCCTCCAGAGACTGGATCCGCTTCTTCAGGTCCATCTCATCGCTGATCTTGCTCTTGTACTGTGACAAACATTTAAAGTTCAGTGAAGTGCTCGCTATCATCCAAATCTAGCATTTTAATGACAGCATGTGTGGAGATGCTTACTCTGTGATTGACAAGGCACAATATGTCGTACACTTCATATCCTCCAAAACTTGATCATTTTGAGATATTATGGGACATAAATTGCATACAAACACCGGTAAATAACCATCCTGGATTTCAGCTTTAATTAAAATTACTTTAAAAGATTGGCTGATGCGCACAGAATTTAAATTAGGCTTTGATTTTCCTCATTATGACAATAAATGAAAGTGAAAATTAAAAGATTAAATAGGTACATCCAATTCGGCTAAATTAATTAAATTTACATTCAAAGCACACCAGTAAACACTGCCTCCAGGGAAACTTAATAGAGAAGCAGAGTGAGGCGATGTCTGCGTATTCAAGTTTAGCTGATCGAGGTTGGTCACATTACTCACAGAGAAGCATCGTCATTGAGGCATTGTCATCAAGAGTAATGACGTGACATATAGGCCTAAATAATTAATATTCACGTGATTCATAATTGATGACTTCATTTCAAATGTGGTCTGAGCTCACCGGTGTTCACAGTGCAGCGCTCCTGATGTACTTTAGCTACATCATCAGCTGTATGTGATTTTATAATGATGTCTGTTTTCTGTTGAAATCTATTATAAAGTTGACTTTAGTTCCTCTTCAGCCTTTTGTCCACCTATTATTATTACTGTTATTATATTTATTATATCATTGCGTCTAATTTTATTACGCTTTATTTCATTTTTAATTGCTGTAACAAACGACTTTCCCACCTTTTATGATAAATAAAGTAGATCTTATCTTAATCTTATCTTTTAGGTCAAAATGAACAAAGGCCTATGAGAACAGCTTCTCTTTACACCTGTGATACATTTCTATTATCTAAATTTCGAAAATAGGCTTTGCTTACATAATATTCATCCTCCTCCTTTTATATTACCACTAAAGAGTCAGATGTAGACGTTTAGATTCAGTACGACTTCGCCCTGGGTTGCATTACATTATATCAGCACATGCAGACATCTTTGTTCTCCTGGATACTGAGTGCTTGCTACAATACATGTCTCAGCAGTGGTCCTGAGACTCCTGAAACTCCTTTCTGCATGGATGAACCTGGTCTAACGAGATTCCCACAACGCCGTCTTCTCTCTTTCATTTTATCTGCATTCCCCAAGTCTGCATGTTACTAAAAAGCCAAACACTGTGTTAGATCCCAGTTACCCCATACAGGAGGTCTGGATTGGGGTCTGAGTCTGAGTTTCTGATCCTATGAGTATACTATGAGTATACAACAGTGGGTTATTCAGAAACCATTGGCAAGGAGACTCCTAGATCTAAAAGCCTGATATCTTGTAAGCTTCTACTTGATTCATAATATGAACTTAATATGAATGGACAGCACTGTAACAGCAGTTTTGCTCTTAAACCACTTCCTTGTATTGTGGACAGGAGCAAAAGCCCCCCGACATGTCATGAAAACAGCACGAAATATTGTTGGCACAGAAACAACATCTCTAGATCACTGGCTGTGTGAAGAGGACCAAGCAAATCATCAAAGACATTGCAGACCCTGGACACAATTTGTTTAAGCTCCTACCATCAGGCAGACATTTTCAAACAATCCACAAACAAACGGATTGAACTGCAGCTTTTACTAAAGCCCCAACTCAAACATCTCCTCTGTCTGAAAACTAAATGTATGTACAGCTTTACTACTACTACATGTACTATACTTATATCCTCACTAACTGTCCAATTATAGACCTGATTGTTCAGCATTATATATTTCTTATCTCACAACTTGGGAGTAAGTTTGAATTGAATAATTGAATTTTAGTGTAATGGTCACTGAGATACTGGATGAAAGGAATAATCATTCAAATCCATTGAAAAGTGCTCAAAAAAACTCCAAGAAAAGCTTTAAAAAGATTTTCCCCCATAAAGCTGTACTTCTGCTATGCATACATACATATCGTGACTTTTGAAATGGTTGTGAAACTCTAATGTGGGCATGCATCTGTGCAATGACATGATTGATTTAACCATTTCCTGTTTCAAATGTTGTATGGCTCTTTGGGGATGAGATCGCCATCTTTAGCGTTTCATAATTCTCTAAAACCAAGTACACCCTCACTGCTTCCATAGGAATTAAGTGGGTAAGTAGCAGCCAGGAGATGCTAATCAAATGCTTGATTAATTAATCATCAACAAGTGTGAGCACCTCTGTAACACTAATCAGAGAAATTGCAAAAAAAACCCCAAAAAACCCCAAGAGCTACATCTCAGACTCCAAATCTGACATATAGCTCTACATCTCAATTAACATTTATCATGCTAACTGAGGCCTGTGCTTCTTTCAGATGCTCCCTTATTAGCAACGCATCTCCACAGAAGAGGGATCCGCATATTTGATTTAGCACAAATTTTTATGCTTGATGCCCTTTGTGACACAACTCTAAATCATTTGCCAGGGATCTCTTGCACATTAGGTCAATGTGTTAACCACTACACAAAGATGAATATGCATGATTAGTTTGGAAGGGCTGCCAGGAGAAAGTCTGTTCTGTATAAAAGGAATATGGGACCATGCCTAGATGTGCACAGTTCTAAAGAACCTAATAAATTTAAAGTAAGACAGACACACACACAAACCTGGAGTATCTTCTCCCTGGTCTCAGAAAGAATCTGCTGCACCTCCTCTTCATGAGCCTCCTTAAGAGTAGCGATGGCTGCCTCGTGTTCATCATTTTTCGTGTTCAGTGCATAGATAACCTGCAACAGAGGGAAGAAACACATTAGATAATGTACAGGATCATAATAAAGATTTAATACAATATTGATATGGTTTTTGGTTTTTTTTACACCTGACTAGACAATTAACAGCAGTATTCAGCTAACATGCTAGGACTGCTATGCTGGGCATATTGTGTTAAAATATTAATACGGGAGCTAGCAGCAGAACATCAAAGCATGAGGATAAAGTAAAGAAACATGAGAGCGGAATAATAAATCTGTAAGATGAAAAGGAAAGGTGATATTGATGTTTTGAGCATGAAGCTCCCAACGCGGTTCAAGGAGAGAAAGAACTTCTCATACAATATTTTTACAATCAAGTCCAATGAAGTCTTTATGAAGAACAGCTGGTACTTAGTGCAAACTTGGTGTTATAGACAAGGTGTTTGAAGCATCCACTATAATGTTCAACCATCACCCTAAATCAATGAAAAGAAAATTTTTCACAATTTTGAGAAGTCGAGTTGGATGAGGAGTCCTCACGGGGTTTGTCCTTAAATGCCTTTTTGCCTTTTAACCAAAGGAAAAAAAATCACCAGGACTGTGATAAAAATATGCGTGCTTAATTTTCCAAAGCTGGCAAATACTTCACGTTTATAAGATGGCCAAACCCTCGCCAGTTACTCTCCGAGTGACGCAAACCGAACTCTACTATTCAGCTGCAAAATAAAAGATTCACCTTAATGCTGCAATCAACACATTTGAAAGGACAAAACTTTTGCTTTGAAGGCGAGCATTCTCCACTTCCTGTTTGCACTGTAAACACACACGTTGCACTTGTTATAGTTTCACTGGTGTTTAATGAGAAGTTGATAAGTGTTTGCAGACATGCCGGGGGCTTCCATGTAAACTACAACCATGACGATCTGCTAACAAATAAAGCATTCACGAGGAGATTTTGGTGCAGCACTATATATTTCATTGCAACCTCCAGCAATAAGTTGAAACCAGAAACCAGTTGCAGACTGGTCTCAAGACCTGTGAACCCTAAAGACCTAATGTGAGCCACAACAGTTATAGTGTCATGTTCAGGCCATTATAAAATACACTTAAAAAACAAAAAACAAAAAGCAAATTCAAGATTATCTGCCATACTACCAATATTTGTTGTGGTTTACTGAAACGATTAATGGTGAGACAATTTGCTGAATTTTTGCTGGTTTGCTGGAAGCTTTTCTGGGAATGCAGACCAGACTGACCAGACATGATGAAGAACTTAATAAGAACTTAATGCAATTCTAACTTCATATTTTGGCCTCAGTTTGATAGTCCTGCTGTAGCATAAATATTTCTAATGCTACGGACATACAATTAGTAGAGATGAACTGTGGTACTGTATATAGCTGCTATAAAGCTGCTAAAACCTCCTATTCCATTGCTTAATGTTTCTAATAACTCAGAAGTATCAGTGATCTCTTAAGGATAAGCTATGAATTTCACATAGCCTTACTTACTTAAATAGTAGATATTAATGTTTCATATATAACTGACAGTAAATCTTGCAAGTCTTCACCTTTACAAGAGAAACATCAACATACTATGGATTTTTTTGCTATATCTTCTCCATATCTGATGCCTTGCAGTGATGAATTAGAAATTGGTTGACGCTGTGTATTGCTGGGGATAAAAATAACACAAGCAAACTGTTGTGCATGAGATTGACCTTTAAATCTGTCCAAAAATACATGCGGCCATCCAATAATTTGACAGTGCTGTGATCCTCTGCTCAGAGCAGAATGAGAGGGAGAGGACAGAAATGGGTTCCATGGGTTTCCACATGAAAAACCGTGAGACACCCGTCCTCTGCTTCTCTCCCTGCCGTGAGAAACAAAGCTCTGCGTTGCCTCTTTGAAAAACCAAGTCAATAATTCAGCACATTGAACTGTGTTTGGGTGCTAAAGAGCCTTTGTTTACTTGGGCCAAAGTCCATCAATAGAATTGGAAAAGAGTGCAGAGGAAAAAATTTGAGAAAGAAAAGGAGGAAAAAGCTTTCACTGACACTAGACACCCACTTCTTATTCTTTGCCATGCCTTACTGGGAGAAGAAATGTAGTGCATGTAGCTTGACAAGTGCTGATGTCTTTGAGATTTTCATTGTTTATTCCCCACACACTCACCCTGTTTTTGCTGACAGCTGCAGAGCGGTGCAATGAGAGAAATAAGTCACTTTATAATCAAAGACATACTCAGGCGTGGGATGAAGCCTCTCATTTGATTTTGTAAACCACTGAAGTTGAACAGGACTGTCCAGCTTTCGTTTGGCCAAAAATCCAACTTTATCACCTCGTTTTGACTCAAATTATTGTTGTACAAGATTGGTTGTGTTGTTCTCTTTTGATTTTCAGTGTAAAGGTATTAATTTAGGAACACTTCACATTGCAGCTAAAGCTTTTATTTAATTAAACTGTTAATAAGTGTGCAATGAAACATTCGATTAACTTGTTTATATTTTAGATACCTCAGCTGCAAATAAGCCTAGTTCATGTCTAATTAAAAACAAGAAAAAAGTGTTTATTAATTCTATAAAGCAACGAATAATAGTAATAAAGGTTTAACTGTGGAAAAAGAGCCATTAATGTGAAGTTACATTAGTGTATGAGGTTTATTTACATTATAAGAAACTCTAATAAGTTTCTTAAACAGTTGTGTTGGTAAATGCTTAATCTAATATTTATAATACTATTATTACTGTTTATACAACCTTATTAGCACATAGTATATCTTAATACATGCAATAGATATGAACTAACATTTATTACATGGATTTTGACATCATGCATTACCATTTACTGTCCTGGCAATAATAAGATGCCAATAAGACATTATGCTAATGATCCTGTAAAACTGCTCTATGGCTGTGCAATTAACTAAAATTTTGTTTCAATTTCTATTTTGGTTTCTACCAGTTACTAAAATGAGATTATCAAAATCACACAGTTACTATGTCAGATTCTGTTTTAAAATAATCATCTTGTTTTGCTTCCAGTACATCACTTTTCTGTACATTTGATCGGACACATTTATTCACTTCAATTATAGTAAAAGTTCATAGAAATCCACTTAAATAAAAATGGAAAATAAAAGTGCCTTAAATCATCAGTACTGAAAAAGTAATTATGATTTTGGCCATAATCAAGCAGCCACAGACTGGTTTTAGGTTCAATTTCAAGAAGAAGAAGAGCTTTCCCTCCTCTTTAACGTCTCTCTCCCCTGCAGGTTGTAGCAGCTTTAGCTCATCTCAAACCAAAAAGAGGTAACTTTAATAAAACTGACCCAGGTCTGTGGAAAAACTCATTTTAAGTAGGAGTTCAAGAAGGTGACAAATAAGTACTATCTTTGCTAAACGTTTATGATTGCCATGGTCTAGCAGGCCATGTGTGTTTAGTAGCTGACTTAAAGGAAGTGATGTGTGTGAGGTTTTGGTCTGTCTTTAGTCTTTAATAGGATTTACATTTAATGGAAATCCAGCTACAGCTAGACTTGGACTTTAAAAAAATGCCAGTATAGATAATTCATAGTGGTGTCAGAGAACAGGCCAGGGGATCACTAAAGTCAGCAGAACTGGTCCCCTGATGCTCATGAATGTTTATCCAAAATTTATAGCTGTTGACATATTTAAGTATTTCAAGCTGTTACAGCCATATGACTATGTTCCTTCCCCTTGTTGTCCACTCTTTCTTGTAGGCCAATTAGTGCCTACTGTGTACTTGTTCTTCATCCCAGCTTCCTCTGCTTCTTGGGCAAGTGTCCCAGTCCAAGGCTCTAATACTAATTACAGCGGCTGACTCAAAAGAGCTGCCAGTTTGTCATTTGAGATAGCAGTGATTTAAAGTGAGGAGTCTGCCCCGTGTCTCCTTGTTTGTAGCGTTGTTGTTTGGTAATCTGGTTAACACTGAATGTACCTTAGAGGCTTTTGTGTTCTGCTTCAGATGTGCTTGCTTTATAGTGCTTTAACTCTGTAACCGGAGACACTTATCTGAGTGTGGAGACTGTTTTATCTGTTTACAGTTAGAATTTCTAACTTTTTTGTCCATTTTTGTCTCCTGTGCTGTTTTATTTCAATTTACCCATTAATAGAATAGAATAGAATAGAATAGAATAGAATAGCTCTTTACTGTCACTGTTACAAGAACAATGAAAGGCAATTTCCCTGACCTCCACACATCTCTCCATGTGTGTGAAATAAACAATAGCGTTAGTATTTACAAAATAACACAGACAAATTTACATTTACACAAGTAAGATATACATGGACCTGCAAATATCTTTTGTTTGTGACTGTACCTTCTCCTTCTGTGGTCAAAAGATTGACTAACATCAGTACACCCATGCAATCCATACACACACACACACACACACACACACACACACACACACACACACAGCCTAGTTTATGTATACAGGGTAGTTTTATCCAAGAATCAAATCAAATCACTTTTATTGTCACATCACATGTGCAGGCACACTGGCACAGCACATGCGAGTGAAATTCTTGTGTGCGAGCCCCACAAGCAACAGAGATGTGCAAACACAACAACACAAACGAGCAAAATACAAGAATGGCCAACCTGAAACTAATAAATATATGTACAATATATAATAGTGTATGCATTTCTGGATGTGTATACTAAATATTTTCCTACGTGTGTGTGTGTGTGTGTGTGTGTGTGTGTGTGTGTGTGTGTGTGTGTGTGTATACACATTTTTACAAATTAAATAGTAAAAAAAAAAAATAAAATAATAATAATAATAATAATAATAAAATATATAAAATATACAGAGTTGAATATGTGCAAAACAAGTGGCATTTATATACAGTGTGGAGTGCATAATGTTGAAAGAAGAATTACAGCCCATGTTTTCCTTTGGACCTCTCACTGTAAGTCTCCTTCACTGTGTTCACAAATGAGCAATGAAGCACCAAAGATCAGAGACAAACTGCAGAGAGGAAAATAAGGCCAAGAAAAATTTGGTT